CGAGATGGAGAGAGATGGAGAGAGAGAAGGAGAGATGGGCGGCAAGAGAGTCTTGAGTTATCGTCTTTCCCGTGGGCTGATAAAAAGACAGACCAAGAAATTGGAAGAGACGTGGAATGAGAGTGAGAGAGGTGCGATGAGAGAAAGAGGCTCTCTCTCTTGCATTGCCGACAGTCTAGACCCTTCCCTCCTCAAACCAGTTCCCTCCCATCTCTCATAATCCTCCCATCTCTCATCACACACAAGGTATGCTAGGTACTACTCGTCACACGCAAGGTATTCTAGATCCCACTGTCCCAGAGCGCTTCAAGACAGAGAAGAAACAGTAAGGACACCACAGACCAGGGAGAGAACAGAGAGAGAGAGAGAAGAAAAGCCAATCTCCGACACGTGGCCGATATATACACCACAGACCAGGGAGAGAACAGAGAGAGAGAGAGAAGAAAAGCCAATCTCCGACACGTGGCCGATATATATCTGGACTGGAGTGCAAGCCGATCAAACAGAGCCAATTTTGGACTTTCGTTTTTCATTTTTTTTCCCCATTTTCATATTATGACAACAAAAGTTATACGTAAACGTGTGCCTCTCGCATTCCGCCTTCCGACCTTGCGCCTCCCGCCTCCCAGCAAGTCTCACAATCGATCGATGAATTTGGCGGCAAACACGGTCAGATTCCGTCGATTTGTCGAAAAACTAGAGCCGCGAGAAGGGCAGAAAGAAATACCGCGCTGGCCCCTGAACGCTGATCCGCGTCCAACGAGGATCCACGCCGAAGGGCGACGCACACTTGGCGGTACTTCAGCTAGGCTGGCGGAAATAACGAGCGGAATCTGGTCCACTGGTCGACCGGGTGCATGCCACGAAGCAGAAAACTCCACCGAAGCCTACCTTAGGTACGGAGTAGTCTGGCGGAAAGACCGAGAGGAATCTGGACCACAAATGAACCAGGTTCCTGCCACGAAACTCCACCGTAGCCTATACCTTAGGCGGGGAGTAGGCTGGCGGAAAAAGCGAACGGAATCTGGACGCCTCGCCGACCCGTTTCATGCCACGAAAACAAAACTCCACCGTAGTAGGCTGGAGAAAAAAGCGAACGAAATCTGGAGGACATACCGACCAGATTCATGCCACGAAAACACAGAATATTACCATAGGCAACCTCAGGCGGGGACTGTGACTCCAACGGGAAATGCTAACGGGCCAGCGCCCGCCGGAAATCACTCCCGCCAAAGCGAACGAAATCTG